AATCCCTTTGAACAGAAAACTTTCAATTCACTACAGTGTAATTTTATGCTTTTTTAACCAGACTAATAATCTTTAGGTTACTGACCTACTGGGCACACTACAAAAATGCTTTTTCTTGTTTTTCTTGTATTTTCTTCTACAAAGAAAAAAATTCTACAGCGAAGAAAACTTTCTTCGTACAAGAAAAAGATTTTGTCCACGAATTTTAAAAGAAGTTTTTTCCTTGGAATTTTTAGACAGCAAGTTTTATTATTCATATTGTATCATATTATATCACAACCAATCCTAGCATACCCAATATTATACAACCTGCAAAATTCTTCATCCTCTTAATCACATGTAGATCACAGTTGATAAATTCACTATAATCATAATGGTCATAATAATTTCTTCTTCAAAACATCCCAATCTAAATGTTCTGGCCAAGGAAAGAGAGCTGGGAATTTTCAGAAATCCCTTTGAACAGAAAACTTTCAATTCACCACAGTGTAATTTTATGCTTTTTTAACCAGACTAATAATCTTTAGGTTACTGACCTACTGGGCACACTACAAAAATGCTTTTTCTTGTTTTTCTTGTATTTTCTTCTACAAAGAAAAAAATTCTACAGCGAAGAAAACTTTCTTCGTACAAGAAAAAGATTTTGTCCACGAATTAAGAAGTTTTTTGTTTGAATTTTCTTGTAGAGTTTTTTTTGTAGTAGGTATCAGTTTCTTATCAGTTTCTTATATTGAATGTAGTTGGGCTATAGTTATCAGTTTCTTATATTGAATGCAGTTGGGCTATAGTTACTTCTAGAATGTTATTCTTGCATTAAGATTTATATTATCGTACCAAGAATGTAATTGTTGCAAATTAAGTTAAATACCTGCAAGGTGAGTTAATTTTCTTGTGTTCAGGACTAAAAAAAATGATGTTACAATAATTTGTCTTCTACCAAAACATTTTTATTCTGACATACTTTCATTCTGACAATCATTAATTTTTTAGTAACAGTTACAAAGATGATGTAACAAAATCTCTGTGATTTGCCAACAAAACATAATTAAGTACCAAGGGAGAGCTTAGAATGTTCAGTACCAAGGACAGAGCTAAGAGTGTTCAGTACCAAGGAAAGAGCTAGGAGTGTTCAGTACCAAGGAGAGAGAGCTAAGAGTGTTCAGTCCAAGGAGAGAGCTAAGAGTGTTCAGTACCAAGGAAAGAGCTATGAGTGTTCAGTACCAAGGAAAGAGCTAAGAGTGTTCAGTACCAAAGAAAGAGCTAAGAGTGTTCAGTACCAAAGAAAGAGCTAAGAGTGTTCAGTACCAAGGAAAGAGCTAAGAGTGTTCAGTACCAAGGAAATAGCTAAGAGTGTTCAGTACCAAGGAAAGAGCTAAGAATGTTCAGTACCAAGGAAAGAGCTAAGAATGTTCAGTACCAAGGAGAGAGCTAAGAATGTTCAGTACCAAGGAAAGAGCTAAGAGTGTTCAGTAC